GAGATATTACCTCACCAGTTAGAATGTTACCAAAAAGACAAAAAACAAATCCTGGAAAGGATGCAGAGAAAGGAAATTGTTTCCCCCATGCTGTTCTCATGATAGTGAATTCTCACAAGATCTGATGGTTTTATAAATGGCAGTTTTTCCTGCATTCTCACATGCTCTCTCATCTGCTGCCATGTAAAACGTGCCTGCTTCCCCTTCCGCCATGATTGTAAGTTTTCTGAGGCCTCCCCAGCCACGCGTAACTGTGAGTCAATTAAACTTCCTTTGTTTATATTAATAAAGTATCCACTCTTGGGTAGTATTTCTTTTTAGCAGTGTGAGAATGGACTAATACAGAGATCATGAAGTAGAACATTGTTTTTTGGTTATTGGTTTCTAATAATTTCTCAGGTGGCACATTTGCATTTTGTGTAGTTTTCTGCATGTGTTGTACTATTTAATTTTTTAGATGCACATGAGGTAATGAGTACACACTCATCTGAATATCCTTCTATCATCTGAAAAACTCTGACAATAAAAAAATTGTATTACTGCCTGTGGTGAACTCATTTAGTCCACAAACCATGATCTAAATTTGCACAAGGCTACTTGTAGTCTTTATTAGTTGTGCTTAGTGTGAATATTCATTCTGTCGTGGAAATACTATGTGTTTGATTATGTAGTGTTACCCTAAAAGCTTCTGAGAGACTCTTAGATGATATACAAATAATTTCAAATCCGAAAGTTCTGAATTCTGAAATTCAGCAGGCAAACAGTTTATAATGAGGGATTATTAAATAGCAATGGATATGAATGCCCTTCAGCTACATGTATTCACATGAATGACCCTAAGAGAATAATGTTGAGCAAAATAAGCAACATAAGAATGCAAAAAAGTATAATTCCCTTTACAAAAAGTACAAAAACAGGCAAATTCAGAGCATACTGTATGTAGTTTAGACATATATGTATATGTGGCAAAACTACAAAGAAAAGTAAGGCAATGTAACACCATACTCATGATAGGCGTTTCTTCTAAAGAGGGAAGAAAGGAATATAATTGAAAAGAAGCACACACAGAACCTTAAAAGGATTGAACCATATACTGTTTACACAGAGCAGTGAGAAAATGTGTGTTAACTTTATTATCACTATTTAAACAGCACATATGTGTTCTATACATTCTCTTTATGTATAATATATTTACAACATAAATCAACAAATAAATCCAGAGATATCACCTGTACCTAATATAGAGTCTATACATTAGTCTAATCTCTGCTCCCTGGGATTATAGAGAGTAAGAATGTTTATGACATTTGAAGGTAAAAAATGTGACCTTTGATCTGTTTTATTCTTTACTTTTTTCTTATTTTCTGGAACATACTGTATTTTATCCATAAATGTTGGGCTCTAACTAAAGGTGTGGACTCCATGGAAAAATCATAGTGAAGATGACTGAAGATGACAAATCCAACCTGCAGCTCACCTAAGGGAAAATCCAGGAGCAGTGACCCTCCCAAATCCCAACCCTGGTTGTTCTGACGAGGGGCATCATTGACACTGCTGGGACTCAGGGAACCATAGTCCAGAGGGGACAGCTGGGAGGTTGGACAATTACCCTATCTTGTCTCTAACTAGGAGGTCTGGGATTGGGTCCCAAGAGACACTGCACGTCAAAAGTCAGCAGCATCTCCTGGCTCCTGTACCTGAGGTGTCACTGAAGACCTGACTTTAGTCTATGCTGTTCCTAGGCATGGAAAGAATCTGTGACTCCAACCATGTTTTTTTGGAGAGAAAGCAGTGGAGTGAACTCAATATCTTTGGTGGTAGTGGCAGAGTCTGAGACTGGTCAGCATTGCCAGGTAAGAACTGAGGCATAGGAATAGGGAAAGAGAGCAGAATCTAGAGCATGTGCATGTACAAACACACACAAGCAGCCCACACAGCTTCTCCCTTTTTCCTTTCTCTCCTTCTTTCCACTCTTTCTTTCTGCCAATCACTTTCTGGTTAACTCTGGTGTTCATCAGGTCCAGCCTAAGGTCATTGTAGAGAAGAGGTTTCAGACCATCCTTCTCTAAGCTTTATTGGCAACCAGTATATAGCACCGGAGCAATAATAAAGCATAACTCATTCTCAGCCAGCTAGGACAGGCAAGGTTCCCAGAATCACCCTCAGTCATCACACCAGGTCAATACCAATAATTTACTTTTCTACGTCCATTTATATTTTATCAACCTCATTCACATCCTTTCTTTTTCTTAAAATCGAACTGGTGAATGATTATTTAAGATGATCTTATTTTGTTTTTGTTTTTGTTTTTGTTTTTGTTTTATGAGATGGAGTCTCACTCTGTTGCCCAGGCTGGAGTGCAGTGGCGCAATCTCAGCTCACTGCAATCTCCACCTCCCGGGTTCAAGTGATTCTAGTGCCTCAGCCTCCCGAGTAGCTGGGACTACAGGTATGAGCCACCACAACCAACTAATTTTTGTATTTTTAGTAGAGATGGGGTTTCACCATGTTGGCCAGACTGGTCTTGAACTCCTGACCTCAAGTGATCTGCCCACCTCGGCCTCCCAGAGTGCTGGGATTACAGGAGTGAGCCACCGTGCCCAGCCCAAGATGGATCTTATTTATTTCCATTATATGATTAATAATATTTGGGATCTGACGATGAAGATATTTGACCAAGTTTATACGTTGCTCCCAGAAAAACAGATGCTTTGCTATGAATAGTTATGAGTAGAATCACAACCATTTAAAAGTGGTGTTGGTGATGTGAACAATGATAATGATGACTCTCAATATGGACACCTCAAAATTTACAAGCCCAACATGCAGGTCCTAACCAGGACACAATGACAAGGAAAAAGCACTGTCATTTTATTTAAAACAGAAATAAGAATAATAGATCATATTTACTGAGCACTTAATAGTGTATCAGTCCTGTTCTGAATATCTTACAGTCATTATTGAATTTAATCCTCATAACTACTCTAATGTGGTAACTTTAGTAACTATCCCATTTAAGCAGATGTGGAAAATGAAGCTGAGAGAGGTTAAATGACTTCCTCAGGCCAGGCACGGTGGCTCACGCCTGTAATCCCAGCACTTTGGGAGGCTGAAGCGGGCGGATCACATTAGGAGATCGAGACCGTCCTGGCTAACACGGTGAAACCCCGTTTCTACTAAAAATACAAAAAACTAGCCAGGCGTGGTGGTGGGCGCCTGTAGTCTCAGCTACTTGGGAGGCTGAGGCAGGAGAATGGCATGAACTCAGGAGGCAGAGCTTGCAGTGAGCCGAAATTGCGCCACTGCACTCCAGCCTGGGAGACAGAGACTCCACCTCAAAAAAAAAAAAAAAAAAAAAAAAATTTCCTCAAAGTCACACAGAGAGTAAAGAGTGGGGAAATTCTGTCAGATTCCAAAAAGAATTGTATATTTTAATCTCTACACTAAACAAACATGATATTAGCACATGCTACCACTGAGTGTTGGTTGTATTTGTTCTTCGATACCATCCAACAGAACAGTGGAGTTTCTCGCTTTGATTGCACATCATGGTTTATGAAGAGACTTCGACTGACTCCAGCATTTAGTCCTCTCAACAAAACTATCAGGTAGGGTTATTTGCTACCTCCTATAGACCAAAAAAAAAAAAAAAAGAAAAGAAAGAAAGAAAGAAAAAGAAAAGAAAAGAAAAACAGCAAGGCTCAAAAGAGGTAAATATTTCCCAAAGTTTAAAAACATGTGAGAAACAGAACTGGAAAGCATTCAAGGCTTCCTATTATATTCTGTCCCAAGGTCCCATTTCTACTGCTACTAATGACATAACAATCACCACCATTCATGAGAGCCGCTTTCCATATATGTTATTTCAACAATAACTTCAGTGACTCTGTGAGGTTGCACATGGTACAAACTAGGAAACAGAGATTCAAACAGGCTCAACAATTGACTAAGGTCAGACTGAGAACAAGGAGCAGAGAAAGGATTTCCCATCCAGTCTCCAAGATGCCAAGGACTAGATCTTAACAAAAAATATGTTTTATTTTGTTTTTGTTTTTGTTTTTCCAGAGTCTCACTCTGTCGCCCAGGCTGGAGCACAGTGGTGCAATCTTGGCTCATTGCAACCTCCACCTCCTGCGTTCAAGCAATTCTCCTGCCTCAGTCTCCCAAGTAGCTGGGATTACAGGATCACACCACCATGACCGGCTAATTTTTGTATTTTTAGTAGAGACAGGGTTTCACCATGTTGGCCAGACTGGTCTTGAACTCCTGACTGCAGGTGATCCACCAGCCTCAGCCTCCCAAAGTGCTGGGATTACAGGCATGAGCCACTGTGCCCAGCCTAGATCTTAACACAAAATATGTTGATGGTGAAGTTCATAATGAAAATGAAAATGGTGTGCTCTTAATGATAATGTGTATTAAAGTTTGCAACCTCCTCATGGTCACATTGACTCATTACAATGATCATCAAAGGCAAAGGGGCCAGAGACCCCTGACTCTCCACTGGCTCCCCTCTAAAGAAATTGTTCTGTCTTCCATCTCCTTCAACACACATACACACACACACATTCACCCACATACGTACAGAGCTCCTTGTGTTGCTCACTAAATCCTAGTATGTGCAAGACCCCCAAATTAGCTCCACAGTAAGTCACTGAGGTTAAAACTGATGTTATAAGAGTTTGTTTTAAAGGGAAAATTAAAACTTGAAGCAGTTCTTTAAGGTAAATTCCAGTTCAGTCTCAGTCAGGCGATATATGAGGAAAACTTGCGATATTACAGTATTCTAGAAACCAAAGAACACCTTCATCCCAACCCTTCATTATCATCGTCCACAGTCTCCATATCTGTACATATTTGCAAACACACAATTACAGCCATTAGTGAATCAGAGTGACCTCCCCAAAGAACAAAGAAAAACATACCAATGTCCATGGACTCCGTAATTTTTAAAGGATAACTTACTTAATCAGAATTACCTGCTACTTTTTCCACCTTAGAAGGAAATTAAAAACGAAACCAACATCTCTGACTTCCTGCTCCTGGGCTTCCCTGAGCACCCAGAGCAGCAGCCTCTCCTGTTTGGGCTCTTCCTGGGCATGTACCTGGTCACCGTTCTGGGGAACCTGCTCATCATCCTGGCCATTGGTTCTGACCCTTATCTCCACACCCCCATGTACTTCTTCCTGGCCAACCTGTCTTTCATCGATACCTGTTTCAATTGCACCATTGTCCCCAAGGTGCTGTGAACATCCAGACACAGCATCACACCATCTCCTACACTGAGTGTCTCATGCAGATGCACTTCTTCATGGCATTGGCCCTGCTGGATGACTTCCTGCTGGCCGTGATGGCATATGATCGCTACGTGGCCATCTGCCTTCCTCTACACTACACCACAATCATGCATCCCCAGCGCTGCCTGCTGCTGGTGGCCATGTCCTGGCTCTGCTCCCACCTCCTGGCTTTCTCACTTGCTTTTCTCATAGCTCAGCTTTCTTTCTGTGCCTCCCATTCCATCCCACACTTTTTCTGTGATCTTCTCCCAATCCTCAAGCTTGCCTGTTCAGACACAAGGGTCTTTCACATCATGATGTTCACTGAAACCACTCTCTCGGGAGTCATTCCTCTCACCTGTGTCCTGGTCTCTTATGCCCACATCATGCACACCATCCTCAGGATCCCCTCTGCTGAGGGGAAGCACAAAGTCTTCTCTACCTGTGGTTCTCACCTGACAGTGGTCACTCTCTTCTATGGAACGGTCTTTCTGGTGTATTTCCAGTCCTCATCCCCCTACTCAGCAGATGCTGGAATGATTGCATCTGTGGTATACACAATAGTCACTCCCATGCTGAACCCTTTTGTCTATAGCTTGAGGAACAGGGACATGAAGGGAGCTTTGCAGAAATTCCTTGGCTTGGGAAAATGCTGTACTCAGTAAAGGGTACTTCTCCAGAGTAGAGACCCAGGCTCTTCTAAATGCCTTCCTAATTGGACTTCTCTAATATAATCTTGAAAAACCCAAATTCAGGGCAAGATGGATGCTCAATATCACAAGCAGTTTAACAGATGAAGGATGCCTGATGTGGCAGGACTGGAAAAGGACCAACTGGCCAGAGACAGAGCTGCAGCCTGGAGAGAGGCAGTGGCCCACAATCATTACAGGGCATCACAGCAAAAATTGTACTGGACAAATTTAAACACACTGGGAAGACTTCATTTAAGGCAGTTGCAATACGGAACAGACACCAGAACTCAGTATGAAATCAAGTCTGCTGAAACTAAGGGCAGGAGGATATTTAAGTGCTGGGGTGAGAGAAAGAACATAAGCTATTTTTGCTAACTGGCTTTACCCCCCCCCCAAAAAAACAAACTTCTCATATCTTTGTGACAGGAGGTAGTTCCTCAATGTGGAACAAAGAATTGTCTATGAAAATTAGGTCGTTACCCTCCTACAGAGCCTGGAGGATAGGTGTGCCATCACCCTCAATGATTAAAATGAAATTTTGAATGAATTTTGATGATTGAAATATGAAAATAAAATGATTTCATTTCAAGTAGACAGTTCCCAGGTCGTTGAGAATGATATTCCTGGGTTGTAAAACTGGCAAGAGTCTTTTAAAATTTTTTAAATTTTTCAAGAGGCATAGAAATAATTCATAGGTTTTCTAAAGTAAATGCTATAAGAAAAGGGAGGTCAGGAACCTAGAGTTGGGAAAGAGCCTGTGTGAAGTTTAGTCAAGTGGAGGGAAACATTCAGTCTGCCGTGGTCAAGGGTGACTTGATAAGTAAACTTGATAGGTGTTCAAGATATTCAAACCTGAGAGTGAGACCACCAAAAGAATGACACCAGACCACAACTTAGGTCTAGAAGGAAGCTCAGTTGGCAGCTCAGTCTGGGACCAAGAGGTCCCACCCAATCACAAGAAATATCAACAGGACCTGGAAGGATCAAGTACTCTGAGCTTCAGGGATCATTTCCAAGACCAGCTTTGGAAGTGGTTCATTCATAGGGATTAACCTCCACATGGAGAAAGCTGAACCAAGGAGATATACTATTTGCTGGAACTAAGAACAAGAATAATACTGGAAGAGGAAAGGAAACCAGGCACAGATAGATCAGGAGACTGGCCCAAAATCACCCAACTGGGAGTAGATCTTTTTTTTTTTTTAATTTCACTTTAAGTTCCAGGATACACGTGCAGAATGTGCAGGTTTGTTACACAGGTATACGTGTGCCACTGGGGTTTGCTGCACCTATGAACCCATCATCTAGGTCTTAAGCACTGCATGCATTAGCTATTTGTCCAGATACTTTCCTTCCCCTCACCCCCCCCCCGCATCCCCCAATAGGCCCCGGTGTGTGTTGTTCCCCTCCCTGTGTCCATGTGTTCTCATTGTTCAACTCCCACTTATGAGTGAGAACATGTGGTGTTTGGTTTTCTGTTCCTGTGTTAGTTTGCTGAGGATGATGGCTTCCAGTTTCATCCATGTCCCTGAAAAAGACGTGATTTCATTCCTTTTGTGGCTGCAGAGTATTCCTTGCTGTATATGTACCACATTTGTTTTACCCAGTCTATCATTGATGGGCATTTGGGTTGGTTCCATGTCTTTGCTGTTGTAAATAGTGCTGTAATACAGATCTAAAGACAATGAGTGACTATTAGTTATTGGAACAAGTTCTTCATTCCTTCATTTTTAATCCCTAGTTTATTCTGTTTGTCCCTACTGAAAAACAATATATATGAATTCTGTAAGAATATAAAATATAAAAAAACTAAGGAAAAGGAAAAAATTACCCATCATTTTTTCATTTAAAGACAACTGCTGTTAATACTTTACACCATTACCTTTTTGTATTTTTCTAACTGCTTTTGCATTTGCATTTGATGAGAAAATGCCATAAAAATAATTATATATATATTTTCTTTCTTAATCTATAACATGAGTTATCTCCATTTGACTTATGTATATCTGCCTTTTGTCTAGCAATATTGAGGGGACATTGTGTGATACAACTGCTGTTTCTTAAAAAGAAAACTCTAGGTAAAAGCGGATGGTAGAGAGAAGTCTGGGTTGACAGCAGGACTGGATATAGGACCTCTCTTTCTCTGTTAAAGCCCCCTAAGTCTCAGAAGAAGGGAGTACAGATAGGCAGGTTTCCCCACCTATGCAAAGGTGCCACTCGTTGGAGGATGGTACTTGGGATGGTTGAAGCAAGGGACAGGGAGCAAGTGCCTTTTATGAGGATCAAGCAGTGTTGATAGAGCTCTTTATTGAATTGCATCACTGCTTTTTTTGTGTTAAATATATTATATCCTTATCTGCTTCATGTTGCTGATATTCCCAGTTAATTCTTCATCTTTTAACTTTGTGGTCTTTTTATCTAAGGAAGTTTTCAACTTTCATGTTATCATTATCATACCATATGCATATCAATTTATATATTATTATATCATATTGTGGCCTCTTCTGTTGGTTGTATAATGAGAACATTCTTCTCAATGCAGAGTTCTTTGAATGGTCAACTTTTTTTCCATTTTCTCATGGCACATTACTTTTTAGTGAGACAAAAAATTAGTTTAGAAAAACAATAAATAGTTAAAGGAGTTCTTTCCCAACACATCCCTCTCTCTTTATTTAAGTGTTTCTTCCCTTTTTTGCTTAACACAATTATTAGCAGATAAAAATTCTGAGTGTCAACGAGCTGTCATTCTCTCATATGAATATGTACATTCCACTTCAGGGTCTTCACTCACAGCATCCTCTCCATGGTGCCTCCCCCATCTCCAGCCCAGCTAAGACCCCCTACTCCACAGCCTATGCCCAGCTGTACCGCCCACAGTGATTAAAAGGAAGAAATCACTCCTTTGTTTTTGCCTTTTTGTATGAATGTGTAAAAGCTGTAGGAACTTAATATTCAATGGAGTAAATTGTGCAGGTAAAAACACCATGGTATTCTCTTTAGCTGATTAATATCAACACTCAGTCCTTCCTGAATTAACAATAGTTTCAAGTATCCAGATATGTCAGGTATTGTGGCAAAGAACTAGGCCAGAGGTGACGAAAGAAAATATAAAAGCAGACTCACCTTGGAAGGAAATACAGAATCATGGAATATATTCTGAGCGCCACTCTGAGTAGCTCTTCAATTTCAACTGGGATTACCAGAAAAGAGCAGCACAATGACCCTATGGGTGGTAACTACAAAGCCACCCAAGGATAGGTGACAACTTCACAGACAACTTCAGGCAGAAGAGTCCTTGGCTGAACACAAAGGGCTGTGAGTAGGTCCTTCTAAACCAGAGTTCACCCTTGTTTTGCTAATTTGTTCTGCCTCCCACCTAAATTCCCTGAAATCACTGAAAGGGCTAAAATGTGTCTCACTTTAAATCATCTTACCCCGCCTCAGGCCACTTCTTACCCTCTTTCAGCTGTACAGCTATCTTACCCCATCAACACAAGTTCTTAGGTAAAAGAATTTCCCAGTCTCATAAATTTGCCCTGGCTATTTTTCTCATGCTAAAATCAGATGCGCAAATCTCGGCATCTAGTGACATGCCCTGTCCACATCCCATCTTGTACAATCCATTTTTTCCATTATCTCCTTTCCAGGTATGAGCTCCCTATGAGAAACTAGCCCTAACTCATGGATCTGGTCAGATGCTTCCCCTGTAAGATTTGCAGAAGATCCTATAATTTACTAAAATTGGATCCTGACTGTTAGTGGAAAGAAAGGAATCCTTATTGGACATGAAAAGTTATTATACCATGATGCGTTTACATAGAGCTTTGGCTGGGTCAGACCTGAACATAGGTTTCTTGACATCTAGGTCAACTGTGGTAATCAGGACAGTCAATACTTTGTTGTCAAGTTGCCATATAATAATGTGTGGCTGTTGGATCAATATGAAAACAGAAGGAGAAAGTCCAGGGAGAACTTCACTTTCTGCTCCTTGACCCTCCTCTGAATAATAATTCATCTGGGAGAAGTTTCTCTTCCTATGAGTATACACAGAGCATCTTTAACACCTCTGTTTCTTAGGTTGTAGATAAAGAATTCTGTGTAGGAGTCAACATCAGGTATACCACAGTTTCAATGGCCCCATCTTGAATGAGTAGGAAGAGTAAAATTTCTCAAAATCTTTTTTTTTCTTGTACTTGAAGACCATACCATGTAATTAAGAATTGAGAAACACATTACGAATAATCTAAGAGTGAAAGAAAAATAATTATGGTATTAAAGATATTTTATGAAAATGACAACCAATATGATGCATATCAGAACATGTGGGATGCAAATAAAACATTCCTTAGAGAAAATTATAGCCATATATTCAAAAGTAAGGAAAGTTTTAAAAGCTACAAAATAATGAGATATGCATCCATCATAAGAAGTTAGAGAATGAATGGTAAAATCAATGCAAAGAGGGTTAAAGAAGTCAGAAGTGATAAACATGAGGGCAAAAAAAATGCTAAAATAGAAAAACATAAAGAAAGTCATAAAAACCAAACGATGATTACTGGAGTTGATCAATAAAATGTATTCCCCTATGGTGAAACTGGTCAAGAAAAAAAAAAAACAACCAATAATAGTAATGAGAGTTACATATCTTCAAATATTAAAATGCGAGGATCTTATAAATAATGTTATGCTAATGAACTTGACATTTTAGACTGAATAGACAAATTTCTAGAAAAATATAACATCAAAACTGATGTAAAAAAATTAAAAACCTGAATATATCTATAACCATTAAGAAAAGTAAATCAGTACTCAAAAAACTTTCCTCAGAGAAAATTCTCAGCCCAGATGGCTAGAACAATGGGTTTATTTTTTTAAGTTTTTCAAGAAAGAATTAATTCCTATCTTACAAGAACTCTTCCAGATAATAAAAAATAAAGAACATTCAAAAACCCCCTTTAGAAGGAAAGAAAAAT